TAAAAATATAATGTTATATTTAAATATATAAAAAATATATATGTATTTAAATATTTAATATAATTAATAATAATTTATTAATAAATTAATAATAATTTAGATAAATTAAATTTATATAAATTTTTATATATTTTTTTTATATATATATATATATATATATTTATATAAATTTCAAATAATATTATTATATTATATATATAATTAATATTTAATTTATATATAAATTAAAATTATAATTTATATAAATTATTTATTTAAATTATTTCAATTATTATATATATATATAAAATGTATGTATATATATAGTTATATTAGTATAGTTATAGTAATATAATTAATATAATATAATATAGTTAAATAAGTATAGTTATAATTAAATATATATATACATATATATATTTATTAATTATAATAATTTAATAATATTGATATATATATATATATTGATAGAAAAATGTAAATTGTGATGAACAATTATAAAATGTTTTTACTTACCTCTTAGGAACGACTACTCGCCTTTGTCTCCACATACTGTTCTTCGGCATCCTCTTCTTTGATCCTCAGGAGAAAAAAAAAAAAAGAAGAAAAATAACGTATGTCCCCCTCCTTCAGACGTTGTCAATAATATAAACGTCAGATCCTTACCGATCTAACGTTATATATCAACTTCGCGATAATTGAATTATCACCGATCATGCTTCGTTTAGTTAATCCTGATCAGTTGTTGGTCTTTTATTCTATATTCAAAAAATGTAATTTTAACTTTATCGAAATATTATAATTAGTCAAACGATCATTTGTTTTCACTATGTAAACACTTTTTCTTTTTTTTGTTATAAACAAAACAAAAATTATATGTATTATTATATTATTTATTGGAAAATTATATTATTACTGTTAAATAATTGTCAACATTTTACGTTCACAAATGTTGATATACAATTTTGTTCATCCTTTTATTTTTTCTTTTTTTTTTTTATTAAATAATCACCTTTTTCTTTTCAATTAATAATCAATTAAATAACGATGAACAATATTTTACTTGTTTGTGTTTGTCTTAATAATTGGGGATTGATAAATATTAAACGTCGAGTTGTAATTAAATAAACTTTTGAAATAATGACGACAACGTCAATGAACGAGTATGTTACGAAGAAAAAGGTTGAATGATCCGACTGGTTTGCTGGTCGGCACGCGACTGACGTTTTCATAGCAAGTTTCGTCTCATCCGGTGTGTGTGATCAGGAAGGTGCTCTTCTCACACGATTCCTCTCACACATTCTCCTTTCCTTTTGCTCTCCTCTCCTCTCCTCTCTTTCTATACGTCTCTACTTTCTGGATACGTATCTTCAATCGATTTCATTTCTTTACTTTAATTATCACCTATCAGTAATAGAAATGTCAATATCTTATTTTAAAATTGCATTTTTTTTTATAAGCATCAATAAATGTTAATTAATTAATTTATTTTTTTTTTTTTATGCCTTCTGTAATTATCTTTTATTTTATTTGTAATAATAATTTGATAGCTTTATTATAATTATTTGTTACAAATATATAATTATTTTCTTATTTTAAATTGGTGAATTTTAATGAAGGATTTAGCTAAGATTAATTTGTTTTTTTTTTTCCTATCAAATCATATTTCTTAGATATGTAATGTTAACACAGGTGCATGAAATATTAAGTAGTTATTAGTATGAAAAGTTTGATCATTTTGATTATTTTTAATTAGAAATTATAGATTTCATATTTATGATGACCTACTGAAATGTCGGGAATAAGTTATTGATTTTAAATGTAGGACAACAATTATGTTTCTTATTAATAAACATGTGGATTTATTTAAGTTTGAGTTACTAAGTTTTAATACTTGAATAATCAAATGTGAGGTAAACCTTAATAATTTTAAATACATCAAAATAATTACGTTTAGAACTCATAAATATGTGGATGTATCTTACAATCAGTTTGAGTTATTAAATACTAATAATTAAGTACTAAAATGTGGAAAGTGATTTATAATTTCAAATATATTAGAACTAATTATACTTAGAACTAATGAATATGTAGATCTATGAAACTTTGAGTTACTCGGTACTAATACTTGAGTACTAAAATGTAAAGTACACCTTAATAATTGTAGGTACATCAAAACAATTATACTTAGAACTAATAAACATGTAGATCTATGAAACTTTGAGTTACT